TGATCATGCTCACGAATAGTTACCGTTCGACGAGGTGATCTAAAATTCTCAAACTCTTAATGATAATCCAAAACTCAGACTCAATGAACAAAACTAACCCCTCTACATACACCAACAACCCCTCTCTACAAACAATGCTCAATACCATTATCGCATGATTACAAAATACATAAATACACATCTACAGATAAGGCCTAATCTCCTTCAAACACATGCCATGCAACTATAAAAAGCAATCAAATTTACTAAACACTCTATCCTCATATTATCTATATCACTCTCAAAACCTCCTATAAAATTATTTCAATAATGGAAACAGCCCCGACTCCACGAAAGAATTATTATAATCAAACAAAAAGACAAGTCAAAAACTCGAAAAGTTTCCTTGCAGTCTCAGAATCAGAATTCAATATCACTAATCACAATTTTTTTCAAATCGCCTATCCAGATTCCACTCACCGTGGTGNTCCTCCAGACCGACGATCCAAAATCCGTGGTTGTTGATGTGATGATAATGACGATGACATTGTACTGACCGCAGTGGTCGAAGGTGTCGAAACGCTTGGAATACGACTAAAGATTCATTATCTATTCAATTTATTAATCCAACGAAAACTCAAAAAGAAACTCGTCAATACAACAACACAATCAACCATCCACTCTATAATTCATCGAGAGATAAAACGGAAACTTTAATAATAAAAGCAAATGAACCAAAATATTTTTTAAACGAAACTCACTCATAGCGACGACCCACCACTACACGTTCAGCTACTTCTTTTCCATCTCTATCTTCTATAAATTTCCAAAAATTATTCCTCAGATTCAAGAATAAATTTCTTTTCTTCCTCTAAAACCATTGCATGCATACAACAACAACAGTTAACAAAGACTGAACAAACGAAAACATTTCCAAAATTTGCGATCAATTCACGAACCGGTTTTATTTCGCTTATTGTGACGGATTTTCGTACGATCTGTCGTGAGCAGCGGTGCGGTTGCTGGCACAGCGTTCTCCATACTTATCGTTGGCGGTGGTAAGATTGAACCTACGGAAATTCTCGACCTAAGCGTAGATCTAGCCGACATCCCCGAAACACCAGCACCGCCACCACCGGAATATCCTTGCTTCTGTCGAGTTTCTATGAAACGACTTCGTGTCATACTTCCTCCAGGTTCGAAATCCTCATCGTCCAACTGTCGATCGTCTGAGCCCATTGAACCCAACTCATCAACAACTACAGTTTCCTCGTATCCATCATCGTCATTGTAGCCATCGGTTTGTCGCAACACTGTTTCTGAGCCAATTTCTACGAAAGAATTAAAGTCAATCAAAAATTCAAGTCAAACACTCAAAAAGTTTCCTTGCATTCCCATTCAAATAACAAATCCACTGAACAGAATTTCTTCAAATCCTTTTAAGTCCCTGATATATTTCTATAATTCTGCATTCAGTCACATCACAACACCATCACTGATGATGTACTTGATGACGACAACTTTGGAAACAAATATGGGAGGAAGAAAAAATCAAAATTCTCTAAGATGAGAAACTTTTCCATAAGAACTGCGCAAAAATAATGCAAGTGAACAACAAACGTGATTACATTCAATGACAATAAATTCAACAAATGAATGAATAAATCATCAACACAATGAGTTTACAAAAAATAAAAATAAAACGTTCTTGGAACAAACCATTTCTGAGAGCGTCTCTTTTTGGAGTTGNACCCGAAATATTCTGGCTGTCGCCTAATCGCCGTTTCTTTGCATTCGATGCATCACTAACACCATCGCCATGATCATTTGGCTCAGCCAAAACGCCAGCACCTCCGTCGTCATCACCGTCAGGATGCCTTTCAGCTGAAGACGATGTTGACTTCAACGGGGTCCGTTCATGTTTTTGGTGCTTAAATTGATGATATTCATTCGAATAATTGTAAAACTAACAATAACAATATGACATACAATATATTATTCATTGGAATAATTATAAAATTATCAGATAATTGGATAATAGATACAAGCCGGATCATA